TTTTGCTTTCAAAATCAAATTATCTTTATTTTTTAGTTTTGAAATTAATTTCGTATATTTGGAATTCATGGTCTCAAATCCCAAATACAACCTATTATAAGCATCTTGTAACTCATCAAAAGTAAATGAATTAAATTCATTTGAGTTAGAAGATACCTTGAATTCTTCTTAAGTGGTCATAAGGCATAGGTTGACTACTTCATCTTCATCATTGAAATCATCTTCGTCACTCCAAGATGCAACAAATGCCTTCTTCCCCTTTTTCTTTAGAAGAGGACATTCATACATGACATGCCCCTTTCTTTGATAATCGAAACATACCGGGGGACTCTTCTTCTTGGTTGATTCATGTTTCACTTCCTTGGAAATCATGAATCTCTTGAGTTCCTTCAAGAGCTTGACCATCTCTTCTTTTTGTTCATCATCGTCTTCATCCACCTTATCACTTGAATCTTGATAGCTTTCATTGATGCCTACGTCCTCATTTTTCTTCATCTTCTTCTTGTTTTTCTTCTCTTCCCTTTCTTCATCTTCATTCACCATCATCTCATGAGTGAGAAGGGAACCAATTAGCTCGTCGAGAGTGAGAGACTTTAGGTTTCTTGCTTCGATAATGACCATCTTCTTTGATTGCCACTCCTTTGAAAGAGAGTAAATCATCTTCCTCACAAGCTTCTCATTTGGGAATACTTCTCCATATCCCTTGAGACCGTTGACAATCATGGAAAATCTATCCGTCATAGTTTTGATGTCTTCATCGGGTTTCATCTTGAAGTTCTCGTAGCTATGGTTGAGAAGACTTTTCTTTGATTCCCTCACTTCATCGGTTCTTTCATGAGTGACTTGGAGCTTATCCCAAATCCCTTTGGCATTGGAACAAGATGAGACTCTTCCATATTCATTTGGGCCTAAAGCACAAAATAGAATATGTATAGCCTTAGAATTAAGCTGAAAATTTTTCTGCTCTTCTCTACTCCAATCGTTGTACTTGCCCGGTGGAGAGGAGTAACCGTCCATGATTGAGTACCAAGCTCCTAGATTGTATGATTGAATGAAGTACATCATCTTATTCTTCCAATGTGCATAATTTGCTCCATTGAAGAAGGGTGGCTTGTTGACCGGTTGTGAATCCATAATAGGATATTTTTCAAGATAATAAGCACCGGAGGAAAAAGTCATTTCTTTGTCGGTTGCGTCGGGAATTGGTAGAGCTTCCTCTAGGATCGTCTCAAGGTGATTAAACCTTTTTAACGAGTTAGGCTCTGATGCCAATTGTTGGGATTTTCGGAAGCTCGAATCGATAACCAGAACGGTTTGTAAAGAGGGGTCGGAATGGTTTTGTGTTTAGTGAGTGAGGAGATTGAAAGATAGAGAATTACACAGCGATTTATAGTGGTTCAACTTTCTCAATCAAAGTCTACGTCCACTACCTTAGCTCTTCACCAAGGATTTTCCAATAAATTCACTAATTTGTTTTCTTTTGAGGATAAAGAGTAACCTTACAAACTCCCTAGTTTTTCCGGACTAAACTAGAACCTTTCCCTAGCTTTTACACGGGATTAGCTAGAACATTTCCCCTTTACAAAATGATAAGAAATGTAAACAAGAAAACCTCTCTAAGGTAGGTGTTTACAAGATTGAGCTCACAAGAACAAAATATATACAAGAGAAAGATGAAATAAGAATGAAAAACTCTTCTCTTGTGTTTGATTGCTTGGATAGTTGTTCTATTGCTTTTTCAAGTGTCCTTAGGTTGTATTTATAGCTTGGAATGTGTTTGAAGTCGTATATAGCCGTTGGGGATGTTTTGGAGCCGTTTGGAGATGAGAAACAATTAATAAAATAGCTTGGAGCGTGGGGGGAATCGGTACCCCCTCATGGGGAATTTGTTCCCTAAGTGCAATCTATTTTCGACCATTAGACAGGGGGGAATCGGTACCCCTTGGGGGGAATCTGTACCCCTGGACAATCTGATTTTTCTTGAAACCCTTTAAAAAAATATATTTTTTGCTCGATTAAGGCTCGAAATACTTTGTAAAATTGTTTTAAAATAGTTTAAGTATAAAACACAATTTTACACTTTAGTAAGGATTAAAATGAACTTTGAAAGACTTGGAGTAATATTTTGATATTTGAATAATTACATCAAATATACTTAGAAAATCTTTTGTAAAATCTTAAAATTCATTTAAATTAATTTGTTATATCGAAACATCAAAATGTTTTCAACATACCTTCCACTATGTGCCAAGAGAAGAAAATCAAATGGCTGACGCTTTAGCTACCTTGGCAGCCGCATTCAAGGCTGGCGATGAGGCTGAAATGATGCCAATCGACATGCAGACGTATGAGTACCTGACTCATTGTTACCAAATTGAAGAAGTGAAAGACATTAAGCCTTGGTACTACGACATTTTACAGTATATCAAGCATCGGAGTTATCCAGAAGAAGCCACCGAAACTGATAAGAGAACCCTTAGAAGGATGACAGCTAGATACGTCCTTGATGGAGAGGTTTTATACAAGAAAAGCCATAATCAAGTCATGTTAAGGTGCGTCGATGCTGAAGAGGCAAAGATGATAGTAGAAGAAGTACATGATGGAGTTTGTGGAGAACATGCAAATGGACACATGATGTCAAGACAAATAATGAGATGCAGGTACTTTTGGTCCACACTAGAAAGTGATTGCATCAACTATGCTAGAAGATATCATAAATGTCAGATTTACGGAGATAAAATCAATGTTCCACCTCATCCACCTCATGTAATGACATCACCATGGCCTTTCTCTGTATGGGGCATGGACGTCATCGGGCAAATTCATCCGAAGGCTTCGAATGGTCACCGTTTTATTCTTGTGGCAATTGATTACTTCACGAAATGGGTAGAGGTTGCATCATATGCCAGTGTCACTCAATCCACTATTTGCAAGTTTCTGAAAAAAGAATCATTTGTCGGTATGGTCTACCCGAAAGGATCATCACCGATAATGCTACAAACTTGAACAACAAAATGATGAATGCTACTTGTGAGCAATTCAACATAAAGCATCACAATTCTACTGCTTACAGACCAAAGATGAACGGAGCAGTAGAAGCAGCAAACAAAAACATTAAGAAGATAGTGGAGAAAACGACTGAAACTTACAAAGACTAGCATGAGAAGTTGCCTTTTGCTTTGTTCGCCTATCGAACCTCAGTACGAACCTCGATCCATTTTCATTAGCTTATAGAATGGAAGCAGTGCTACCCATTGAAGTAGAGATTCCTTCACTTCGGGTCTTGACAGAAGTCAAACTGGATGATGCAGAATGGGTACAATCCAGATATGATCAACTTAATCTGATAGATGAAAAGAGACTGAAAGCCATTCATCATGGTCAAAACTATCAGAAACGAATGATCCGAGCACATGACAAAAAGGTGCGCCCGAGAATATTCCGCGAAGGAGATCTGGTGCTAAAAGGAATTTGACAAGTCCAGAAAGATTTCCAAGGAAAATGGATGCCAAATTGGGAATGACCTTATGTCGTGAAAAAGGTCTTCTCTCGAGGAGCCCTTATCCTGGCTGAAATGGGCGGACCTGAACTGCCACATCCCATCAACTTGGATGCAGTCAAAAAGTACTTCGCTTAGGATAGAAACCCAAGAGGGCGTCCTAAGTTTAAAAAAAAGAAAAAGGAAAAGGAAAAAAATAAAAAAATCGTTTAGGGTAAAAACCCGAAAGGGCGCCCTAAATTGTAAAAAAGAAAAGTAAAAGAGAAAAAAGAGAAAGAAAAGAAAATAAGATGGGTTCAAGATGAAAACCCGCAAAGGGCATCTTGCAACCAAGGATGGGTCCAAGTTGAAAACCCGAAAGGGCGATTTGGATGTCAGTTCAAGAAATCCAGACAGTGGAAGCATCCCGGCATCTGAATCTCCAGCAAACTCAATAAGTCGGAGAAGGGTTGCACTCTCCAGAATGTTGTCGCATTCTCAAAGATCCCTTGGCAAAGGTTGTGTTCAAAGTCACTTGACGGCTTTTCAGCTCAGAAGTTCTCACATTATCGGGATCTCATACTTCATCATGTATTCATTTTCCAAAATGTTTGTCATGTATTATTTGTTCCTTTTCTCCCTTATGAATAAAGACAATCTTTTTCTCTAAATCAATTCCTTTTGAGCATCTTGAATTACACTCAATGATTTATCTACTTATGCAAAAGATAATCGCATATTACTGTACAAAGATTCATTGAAAAGTACAGGTACTCGGAAGCCGATCAAGGCTCATGCATATACTTGAGATGGTCGAGAAGTATTTCCCGGATCAAGAGTAAAAAAAACAAAATATGCAAATCATATTTCAACATTTTAAGAATTTAAGACCAAGGATCAGAATTTCAGGATTCCCGAATCAAGATTCCAGACAGGCAATCGGAGATCGAGATTTCTCTCCAGAGCCCCAAGATAACATATGTTGCATATGCCTTTTAGGCACACCTAAGAGCATTGCATTCATAGCATCATATATATTCATAACTTTTTCAGGTTTCAGCTAGAGTCAATTTCAACTTCGCAGCGAAGGATATTGAACTCGAAGCGACACAATTTGCTCGAGAGTAGATTTCAACTCCACGACGAAGAATATCTAACTCAAAGCCAAACTTCACAATAAAATGGACATCCACGGTTTCAACTTCACGGCGAAGGGAATCGTGTTTACCCGCAACATACAATACTTAGATTTCAACTTCATGGCGAAGGATATTCAAGTCAAGGCTCAACTTCACGACGAAGGGGCCATCCACGATTTCAACTCCACGACGGAGGATATCGTGCCATTTGAGTCTCAACTTCACGACGAAGGGGCTTCCCAATTTCATAACCAATTTCAACTTCACAACGAATGATATTGGACCCAAGATAACACAAGCTCAACTTCACGACGAAGGGGCGACTGATTGTCAACAAACAACTTTCAGAGTCAGTTTCAACTTCACAACGAAGGATATTGGACTCAAGACAACACAAGCTCAACTTCACGGCGAAGGGGCGGCTGACTGTCAACAAACAATTCCCCAATTTCAGATCCAATTTCAACTTCACATCGAAGGATATTGGACCCAAGACAGCACAAGCTCAACTTCACGGCGAAGGGGCGGCTGACTGTCAACAAACAATTTTCCAGTTCCAGAACCAATTTCAACTTCGCGACGAAAGATATTGGACTCGGAGCAATACGACTTACTTGGATTTCAACTTCACGAAGAAGGATATCCAATTCTCATGCTCAACTTCACAATGAAAGGGCCACCCACGGTTTTAACTTCACAACGAAGGGAATCGTGCACACAAGCAGCATCCATCTCTAGATTGGATTTTAACTTCACGACGAAGGATATTCAACTTAAAGAATGAGTGTCTGTCAATAAACTTTCTAGTTTCAGAGTCAATTTTAACTTCACGGCGGAGGATGTTGGCCTCGAAACAACGCATCTTACATTGGATTTCAACTTCACGATGAAGGATAACCAATTCTCAGGGTCAACTTTACGACGAAGAGGCCGTATACAATTCCAACTTCACCAATAGATTGACCCAACTTCACGACGAGTGAGTCATCTATGACACACCAATACCGAAGTCTTCAGGACAAGTTTTTCACCTCCACGACGAAGTATCGTGTGCTACAAGACGGTTCAGAGGCCACTTACCAAGGGTTTTGAGTATGATTTCAACTTCACGACGAATGATATCGCGCTCAGAAGTTTCCAGTTTAACCCGACCTCACGACGAGGGAGTAATTTTGTGATTTAATCCAATTATCGGATTTTAACTCTACATAGGATATTCTATGGGATTTGACCCCTATAGGGATGATACGTTTATGGTAAATGAAAAGTGTGTCTTTTAATCTTTGTCCTATCCCCGTTACACGACTATGGGCAAAGAGGGGCAGCTGTAGACACATTTTTTGTGACTGAAATGAACATATTTTATATATATATATATATATATATATATATATATATATATTGTATAAATATATTATAAACATGTTTTACATCTTGTATCAGGCCCAACCACGCCTAATGGTCCAGACCCACAACAGGTTAGGGTTTTCAAAAACCCTAGCTCACTCCACTCTTGTTCCAGCCGCCAACCATGGGAACCGTTGGATCAAGGTGTGATCCAACAGTCCACAACACGCAAAGGTTTCCAAAAACCCTAGTTTTCCATTCGGTTCTCATCTGCGCCGCGTCACCAAGACTCCAGGAGTATCACGCCGCTACCAGCTCTCCTTTCACACATTCAACGCCGAGTTTCAAGGCACTCCATCCCTCATACAACAACCGCAACAACGTGGATGTTTGGGACACCAGAAAAATAGCAAATAAGGCATTAGTTTAGTTCGAGTAGGACTCAGAAATCAAGCTAAAATAGTTTATTTTTTAGTATAAATACATGTAATCAGTTCATTTGTACACTAGGAGTTGATACGAAATAAAAGCAGAAACTTTCGAGCAAAATCACGAGCACTATCAAGGCAAAGCATAAACGTTTTTGAGATTTTGAAAGCAACAGAAGGTAAAGTTTGTACCTTTTTTTCATTTTGAGGCTTGCATGCGTTCGTTTCGTTGTTCTTAACTCGGAAAACCACTAGAAACAAACGTTTTGGCCGATGAACGAAGTGAGGCCTTTTATTTTTTCGAAACCTATTTCCTAGATCCGCATTTTTCGAGCCGATTTTTTGAGAAACCAGTTGGATTTCTGGACTGAGGGAAGAGAGTGGTCTTTAAAAAAGACGGGTTTTGTGGTGGACCACCGCCGATGAGCGGCGGCGAGGCGGTGGCCACCATTTTCAGGCGGCGGTGCACGGCTCTTGTTCTTGAATCTCAAGAACACTTGCGAGAATTTTTGAGCCAAAGGGGGAGTGTTTTCGTGGGAGGATAAAGGAAATGAGAAATTAGAAAAGAAATTTGGTTTTATAGTAGACCCATCAGACGCCTAACCCGACCCGTGACCTCGTCTGACCCGCGTGTTTTAAATAAGAAGGGGGTTCGCGTTTTGGTCCCCCAGTTTTCAAAGTGTTTAATTTAGCCCCCTAATTCAATTTTTAAAACCCAATTCAATTCTAATTTGGCCCCAATTTTTATCTTTTCTTTCATAACGGTCCCTTATGTATTATTTTCATATTTTTATTTATTTCTTTTTGATAATTCGTATTATATATATATATATATTAATTAATTTTATTCTAATATTTTTTTATTTTAATGTTTTTTAAAGTTATTATATATATATATATATATAATATATATATTTATAACTATTATATTTATTATTATTTTACTATTAACGTATATAAATATATTTTTCTCTTTTGTCACTATTATTATCATTATATGTATATTCTTTATTGTATTTTTTTTATTTTACCTTTTTTTAAACATATGTATATATATATATTCTCTCTCTCCATCTTTATTTATTTATTAATGTGGATCTTTTAAAGTTTATTTATATGTATTTATATATCTATTTTTTTTCTCGTATATATATAATGTATTCATTATCTTTCTTTTTAATGTACCATAGCTTATTATCATACATATATTGTTTTCATATTTTATTTTTCTTTTGTTTTGTTTTTTTTTTTTTTTTTTTTTGTGTATTTGCTTTTGTTTTATGTTTTCATATTTTTTTATTCTTTTTTTTTTACTTTGTTACGTTTTTACTCACGTTACCCTTTTATTTAGTTTTGCTTTATTTTTATGTCTACTTATCTCATTATTTCTCGTTTCTGTTTGTTCTCATATTTACACGTTTTTAACTTAATTTAATTTTGTACTACACTATGAATCTAACATCACTATCTTTTTAAAGGCACATTTTCAAATCAATCTAAGGTAAGCCGTTGTGATCGTTATTTTACCTTTTAATTTAAAGTTATGTTTTTCTTAACTAAAGACAACTGAAAATTATATAGTACCGAAATGGCAGTTCAAGGGTGTTAACCCTTCTTTGACTGTAACCGACTCCCGAATCCGACATATCACTGGTAAGACGCAAATCAGGTAAGATGGTGTCCGATCTACCTAAATAACGTTTTAAAACAATCGGTGGCGACTTCAATTCATTTAATCCAAGTCGAAGCCCAATTTCCGAGTCCAACCGAAAGACGGTTCCGACAACTGAAATTCTTTGTTTTTTTATTAAGTAGAGGGGTATTACGATATTAATTTAAATAATAATATTTGAACCCACATAAAATAAGATAACATAAACATTTTAATAACTCAATCAATTAATAGATATCAAATTATTTAACTTTGAGTTGAACACAAATAAAAATGCATGGCAAGTTTGTTCTAGTTTAGGCCAACTTAACGAAGTAATACCATTTCTTGGACTGATGGCTATGAAGAGTAGGCCCTTTTAATGTTTGTGTTTAGACTTGAAAGATTTAGGCTATGTTTGTGATTAAGCTTTAAGCTTGTATCAATGCTTGGCAGTCGAACGAATTTTTATTGATTAAAAGAGTGGATTTATATATTAACTTTTTATTAAATTTAATTAGTTATTGTTAGTAATTATACGAGCGTTAATTATCGTTCTCTTCCATATTTTTATATTCTTTCTTCCATCAATTTTTTGAATAAGTGTTTATTAACCATTCTTAATATGTTACGATTGAGTTATGATAAAACTTGTTATCAACATGTTATGATTTATTATGAAGAGTTAATGGTGTTTATTCTTCACCATCAACAATAAAGGTTATATATTCTTATTTTTAAGTTGTTAGGTTAGTTGTTTTTTTTTCTTTTATGGTCTTGGTTTTGTTATTTAATAATTTTTTTATGATAAATTTTTAAAAATATTTGGTTAACAAGAAATGAGAAGATGTTCATTGAAAAAAAATTAATCTCAAACATCTATTTATGCTCATCCAGCTGTCTTAAATCTGTGTAAAACTAAAAATAATTTATATTGTGTAAATAGATTTTAACCTGAGTATTTATTTTGATTATGCTATTGGTTATTTAGATATGTTTCACTCTAATTGGTTTTGTCTCAACTAGCTTTGATGCTGGACTAGACTATGGGTGCCTTGCGTTCTACGTCTTTTATGATCCTACTGCTTTGCAACTGTCAACGACTTGTTTCCTCTTATCTCAGTCCAACAGCGATAGAAATAAATGTGATGTATGAGCTCAGAATTTTTTGGCTAGTTATGATCTACCTAATATAAGTATAAAGGAACTTCGTTACTATAAATGTTAATATTTTTTAATATTTTCAGTAGAGTGCTACTTAAAATTAAAATGTTATTTTTTTTATTGGAAATGTTAATTTCGTAACTTAAAATGAATATTTCTTATATTAGCATTTTTGGTATAAAAAATAGCATTTTAATTAGAGCCCGATATTAATATTTTCGGTAGAAAAAAATAATATTTTAGTTAGCGCTCTACCGGAAATGTTAATAACATCTTTTTTTAGCCTTATATTAAGCTGCTTTTTCCTTAGACATTCCCGATTTTTTTTGTATTTTGATTCGATCATTTTTAGTGGTTTCCATTTTTTTGCATGCAATTTGTATTTTTATTCTGGGTGTGGCATGCATCACTCAGTATTTTAATACTCACATACTTATCAATTCTATTTGTAACACAAAACGTGACTTTTATTCAATTTCAACTATTATAATATTTATGATATTTCATATCATCGAAACAAGTAATTTAAAATTAAATTAAATTAATTAATACAATCAGTTTTAAAAGTTGATATGGGATAAGCATAAAATTTAAATTTCATTTAAAAAATTGCAATCAATGTTTGTGTAGTCAAACTACTGAAATAAGTTAAGAATTAAATGATTCAAGCTAGTCCATGGACCATATATATGAACTGGTTATTCGCCATGAACGTGAAAAGGACAAAATAATCTATTTGATACAACTAGCAGTAGTAGACTAAAATTGGTGATATAAAGCATGTGTTATCTTCTGTATTTCTGGGC